ACAAATCGAACGTACAGCGTTGAATAGAGCTCTGTGATTGTTCGTATGCCACCATGTGCGTTCACACGCACTGTGAGACCTTATAGTAATGTTTGTGAATACGGGCGTAAGTAGCAATTGCTAATTATAATGGTATGCTTTTAAAATGCAATGAACATGGGTTGTTTATTAAAAACCGTTAAGTTCAAGAATGAGACGTTCAGAAATTAAAGTAAAAGTGAAAAGTATTTATTACTTAAAGATGTCACATACTTAGTACAAATTATTCTGTATATAAAAATAAAGAAGTCGCTTTCTTTCTATTTATACGAATGCATCACATTGAAAAATTACTTCGCATTGGTTTTTTCATGACTGTCTTCCATGACACTTATTTCGAGAGTACACTAAGCCCTCTTTAGGGCTATTTGCAAATGTCACAATGTATTTTTGTCTCTGTTTTACGACAAAATATTATGTTTTTTGGGATGTCCCATTTGTCTTTTTTTATTTGCAGGTTTTCTTGGCGTTCGCCGTATTTCCTTTTCGTTTTTATACCCGGATTGTTGTTACAGACTATAACATTGACAGTTCATTTAGTTAATGCATCTTATTCAGGTTTCTCGGCTAAAGATATGAGTAAGTAATTTGACCAATATTTTATTTTTTGAGTTGATAAATACTTTTTAGTTAAAGATGAAGGTCATTTATTTTATTCACTGAGATAAGATAATACAACAAGGTAGATGTTAAAATAGATGCAGAGAAGCCTATCTTAGCAGTGAAGCTGTGTGTGATATCAATAAATTTTTATCTTACAATTTTATTGACCGATACATACTCAGATAAAAAAAAAAAAAAATCTTTTATTGCGACTGTACTTTTTAAAAGATTAATAACTGCAGTTTTAAGGTTTTAATGCATTTCGCGAATAGTAAAGTTTTTATCGCAAAGTACTGGCCGATAAAAATATTTTTTTAATCATATCGATCATCTTTTGCTTTTTCTTTTCGATTGTTAATTTAAAAAAAAATCGTATTGACTCAATATCGTGTAAATTACAGCCTAAGTTTTGATGTTTAAACAATAAATTACAATAGTTTCAGTAGCTTTTATGTGTTATAGTAACAAACTTTAACTTAATAAGTAACATTATTAAAATAATGTAGTATGCCAGGATTTATTCGATAATCATGATCATTTAAACACTATTTTTCACAGCTGGATCAGCGTTTGCGATGTCCTGTTACATCTCAGCTTATTTTTATTGGAAAATGAGTGTGAACTTCAAGTCCACAATAGAAAAAATAGAAATAATCGAATCAATATTGCCACCACCACACGCCGTCAGAGCAATGAGAAGGAAAGTATACTTTGTAATGTTTTTCTACACTTTCGTTGGAATTGGTAAGGAGATAAGTAATGTACACGGTGTTACTTTACATTCTCACCATATTTACAGAGGTAACTAATGAATGACACTGAACACAAATCAGTAAAAAAACAATGTGTGTATTTTATTTTATCGATAATATTCTGTATTTTTAAATTTCTATTGGAGTTTTTAAAATTATTTTTGACACTTTTGTAAAAAGCTGACGCCCACTGTTTATTTCAATTGCGCCCGTTGAATGTGCGAGATAAAATTGGTTTATTTCAATTTGTAATGCAAAACTAAATTGACTAAAAACTCAGTGTGCTTTCTTTACGACAAACAAGATACTCCATCTTGTTTATCTAAAATAATAGGTAATTGTTCCCTACTTTTATCTCTGTGAATATGGCAAGGATGCAAAGTAACACCCTGTGTACTTTGTGTATGTATGTTAAATTTTAATATGACAATGATTGAAGTCACGATAGACTAACACAAACAGTGAAGGGGTCGGACTGGCTGACTCGTAACACAAGCAGCTTAATATGTATGAGAGGTCTGTAATGTTATTTGTATTTGCTCATAAGATAGGCCCCCTTCATTGATATTTATTGTCCGTGGTGCATAATCTTTTCTTAAAGGTTTTAAACTTTTGTTTGTCACCTGTCATCCGCTTTGCAATGGAGGGAAGTCGAACCTTAATGTCATACTCCTCCTATGTTCTTCTGATTAATTTCGTTGCGGGTCCAATGACAGTTTAACTTTCCCTCGGGACAAACTTGACCTTCATTGGTTGGGTTTTTGTGGCGGTCCAGCTGTAGATCCTGGCTACACAGGAGTTGCAGTGATGGGAACGAGAGGTGGGAATAGGGACGTATAATGTTATTTGTGCAATACAAATTACAAATATTCTTTCAAAAAACTCTTAATTAGAGAGGGCTCTTAACGACATAAGGATGAATGATTACGAAATGGTTTAATTTTGTGTTTTTTTTTCAGCTGACTATTTTCTTTATTTTGTCACAATTTACAAATCGGTTATAAAATGTCCCCTTAAGCAAGAAGACTCTGGATTATACTTGAAATCGTATTTTATGGTGGTGTACAGTTTCGCCTTTCGCATCTTGCCTTTCAGTTATACATTGGGTGTTATATGTCAGGTAAGCACATAAGTAATCTTTCTAGTAATATAGTGTAAGTTTTATCTATGTACCTAAATTGTTACAAAATTACTAATTTTAGTCATCTCAAAACCCATGAAAGTTCTCTATGGATGTATTTTATTAAAAGCTTATTCGATCCGTCTTGTGACGTTCTAATATTGGGACACCCTGTATACTGACCAATAGCTTGAACAGAGCATGGCATTTCAATGGAAACGCTTTAACAATAATATAGTAAAACTTGTAATATGAGGTCAAAGCAAATAGAAATAAAGAAAGAAAGGTACATTTATTACAATGGACATCACACAAATACAGGCAATTACATAGACATGACAGTGGCACATAATAATGGAAGAAGAAAAAAATAAAAACAAGAGTAAATTGACCAGTGCCACCCATTCACCAACAAGATGCAAAGGGACCCCCCCCCCCCACTCAGCATAATATGCCGTGGCCCACGGTGACAAAGGCCACGGCGCCACTGGTTTTCAGTGTGCCCCTAAATTAGTTGTGTAAGGTCATAAAGTGAAAATACCTAGCGGAATAGAGCAACAAGCAACTGAGCGAATGAGATGTCACTAGCAGCAACACTGTGATAAAAAGAGATAGTCGTGATGCCATCTCCGTCACGTCGAACAGAACCATTTTTTTTTCCACTATTTGACAGTTCGTTACTTATTGGCACGCTGAAAATTCGAACTCTGAGAGATGTTTTCAGATTTTACGTGAGTGAAATTGTGAATGTTTATGAAAAATAGTGCTTCAAATAGATGGAGGGTTCAAGTGGATACTCATGGTTTTTATAATGTTATTTAGGTAATTGTTACTTTTCAGTTGGCGAAAACACAAATACTATTTTATTGGATATTCAACGACGCTATTTTCATCTTAAGTAGTATTTATCTAGAAAATAAGTTCCTGAATTACAACCGCATGATATTTAGCGAGAAAAATCACGTAAGTTATTGATGTTTTTTCTTGGGTCTTATGCTGTCTCTTTACTCAGACTATCGCATTGATTAGAAAAAAATAAATAGTATTTTTATTACAAAAATGTTGCATCTAGTAATTATTGATTATTTTAGCACTTACAATACGTTTTTAACAGTACGAACATTTGCATTGGTGTGTAAAATCTTTGGAGGCGCTTGTAGCCTGGTAAGATTAACTTTTTAGTGAATGATAAAGTTGTAGCAATGTAGGTACCTACATTGTTATTCACTTGTTATCATGTAGGTATTTCAAAGCGGTAGTAAAATAATAGTAGAAGTTGACGAGTTAGTAATTACTCGTAGTTTTATAAACAAAGTGAAGCTCATTGCGGAGGCTATTTTGAAAAATATACGAATAGTAGTAGTAATAGTAACTTTTATTGGGTCAGTTAGAATTTAAACGTATTTCATATTTTATTATCTACATAAAAGATTATTAAAAATTCAAATCTAGCTCAAGGACTTTGCACGTATTTTACTTGAGAAGAAGTTTTAAATAGTATTCGCCATTTTGCTTTTTACAACTGAGAATTAAGATTGTAAAAATTGACAGCGAAAAATATGTTCGCGATAAAAAATACAACCATAAAAAATATAAATCCTACGTGCCTTTTTGCAAGCCCCGTTAATTTATTCTTTCCCTTTGAGTCGGCTCATATGTATAGGTTTTCCCCTACGGGTGAAATAAAAATGCATAGAGATTACCTTTTTAGACCACACACAATTTAAATTACTGTACTCAAAGTACCTAATTAAAACACAATTAATTACTCAGTAGTACACCTATATTTTTATTTAATTCACTTTACTTTTTACGCCGGTTTTCGAAAATCTGACTGGCTGACTGACATAGTGATCTATCAACGCACAGCCCAAACCACTGGACGGATCGGGCTGAAATTAGGCATGCAGAGTTATTACGTAGGCATCAGCTAAGAAAGGATTTTACGAAACTCCACCCCTAAGGGGGTAAAACGGGATCCACGCGTACGAAGTCGCAGGCGGCCGCTAGTTGGAATATGTAGGTGATGAACCTCATCTATGACTGTATGAAATTCATACGGGAAGAAATTATAGGTCTAGGCGTTTAACTTAGTCAGTGCCTGAGGTATGGAAGCGGCACGGGAGGGTTATTATTATTATTATTAAACGTCAGCGAGACTTTAGATTCTAGTGTAAAAGTGGGCCAGCCACATAGCCGAACGGTGAAGTGGTCAGAGTGGCCGACTCGAGATCCGAGGAACGCGGGTTCGAATCCCACAGCCGCTCGACTGTTGTGGTGAGTCCACTCGTAACACAAGCTAATATAGCTTAAACGAGGGGCTAACGGGACTATTAGTAATTTGTGCAAAACAAAGTGCTAATAATCTTCCTTAAAAAAATTTAAAAAAGTGGGCTAGGTCACTAGAAGACTCGCCTCAGGCACAGACTGAGTTGAGCTTCTGTAGTTTCTAACATTAATTAAAATATTTATGTACTTATTTCTAGGAAAGCATCAAGCATTTGAACTGGGTGGAGTTACAGTTCCAGTACACTCAGCTCAGTAAACTTGTGAGGATTGTAGACCAGAGCGTAACTCCAGTGATTTGCGTCAACTTTGCAACTAGCATGCTGATTATTTGCCAACAACTGTACTCCATTATGGGGTAATTATAATTTTTCATTTACTTGCCTGACCAGAGGTGGAATTGTGTAAAGCAATCGTAATCATTCGACAGTTCATAACGTACGATAAAGTCAGTTAAACAAAGCGTTTGACAGAATAATAGTACGTTATGAACGGTCAAATGATTACGATTGCTTTACACAATTCCACCTCAGATTTCTTACTGCCTATGTTCATCATAATGTAAGATTGTAATGATGAAAGAATATATCAAATCGGTCTATCTATTCAATACAAACATCAAATCTTTCCTCTTTATAATATTAGTGCTTTAAATTAATCCTACTTGGTTATAAAATTTAAAAAATAAAATTAAATTAACGATAACTTCTAAACTACGAAAAGTCGTAGAACATAGTACATGAGGGTAAAATCGTTAGGTCTAGTCCTCACCTATCACCTGCTTTCGGCTTGATACCTTACACAAAACACTCTGTATAATGTGACAATACAGGGTCTTTCGTGTTTTGTTTAATAACTCTCACATTAAAGTTTCACTTACTTACTTTTACTTTCAGCTACGAAAATAATATTATGATTCCTGAATTCAGAGATTGTGTTCCAGAAAAAAGGTATTGTACTTTATCTCTATGTATACACAACAATTTTATGACATACTCATAAAAATAATTTATTTACNGATTTAACTTATTTATTTTATTGACTGTTAATGAATGAATTTGAATTGAATTGAATTGAATTAATTTATTTATTTACTTTTATTTATTTGGTTTTAATTGATTTGATTTAATTTGATTTTTAATATTTCTTTTTTGGTTTTTAATTTGATTTGATTTAATTATAATATTGATACTACGTTCATTGAAAAAATAATAATCACTTGATATTGATAATGATAATGATAATGATTACTAACATTAGCATTTAAGGTGTGTTTACTAACCACACTATGAACTATGAGTTGTTCGAAATAAAAACTTTTTATTTTATTTTTATTTATTTTATTTTAATACGTAGATGAGGAGTTTTAACATTATCAATGTAAATATCAAGTTTTTATGATAATGTTGTGATATTTGTAAGTCTAATGCCCGTTTTCGCCATCAATTTCAATACCTAATTTTTAGTGACCCTTATGAAAACAAAATTCCTGGTGCTACCATAGGGTCACTTAAAAATTAGGGATTGATGGTAAAAACGGGTTTAAAATATTATTATGTCCCATTCATAAACAAAATGACGATAACGCTCGTTTGCATAAAAAAACTGATGTTGAAGATGCGCGTAGAGCGTAGATTTATAAACATAAGAGCGGTAAATTAAATCAAATATTATTTTAGTATGAAAAAAAAAACTCAATTTTCAAAAATCGTAAAACAAAATGTTGTTATATTTATTATATTCCTGCGAGTTTGCCGGTGTTTTACAAATAACTCTGTAGGTAGATATTTAGTAAAGAATTTGTAAAAATATTTACGCGCATTATTTTCTAGATGTCGTCCATAATTTCACACAAAAATGTTTTTTTCAGTGTAGAGACATCCTTACAATACGCATGGCTTCTACTATCTACATCACTCTTGGCGACTAGGGTTCTCTTGGTACTGTTCTTGCCTGCTCGTCTCCACACGGCCAGTAGGAAACCCTTGAGGATATTAGGCATTGTTCCGGATGAAAACTATAACAGGGAGGTAATGCTGTTGATAATTACGTTTTTTCTATGGTAGACATAAGGGACTGGGGGCGTAGTGCGAGTTTACATCAAACGTATTCGATACACTAAAAACATATTTTCGGTTACTGCTTACACAACAAAAGTGACCACCGAACAGCGATGGCGATCAATGCATTTAAGTCTGGTCGCCATCGCTGCACGCCGGCTGATCGCGTGCTATCGCGTTGGTTTGGTCACTTTTGTTGTGTAAGCAGTAACCAAACATTTCTTTTTGTGTATCGAGTGCTTAAAAAAATGACATTATTAAATATATGACGGATTGTACAGCGACCCATAGCAGATAATTTCAAGAACTGAAATCGTCATCGTCATAGATTTTTTGACGCACTCGAGATCGAATACGTTTGGTGTAAACTCACACTAAGCTCATTGATCATGAGACTACAAGCTTTAGTTACAAAATAGCAACATTAGTGCTAAAAAAGTTTTTGGTTTTTGGAAGAGAGTGAGACTTCGACTCAGCGGTGAAAGTTAAGACACATAGACCTATTAGACTACATAATTAATTATAGGCTTTTGTTGAGTGTACAAATTCACTGTAACAATGTTGTCTAAGTATAGAACTTCAGTGTTAAACCCACAAGGTGGACAGACGATCTAGTAAATGTAGAGGCAGGAAGGCGCTGGATGCATCCCACTAGTACCCGGTCAACCTGAAAATAAACGGGGAAGGCCTATATTCAGCAGTGTAAGTCCTGTAATGTAGTGTAGTAAATGTACCTACTACTACTATTTCTATTTATTTATTTATATTAACCGGCAGACAGTGGTGACTGAGTTTGTTGCGGCGCTTCTTCTCAGCACTTGCCAAATGTTGGTCTCGAAGCGCTGGTAGGGTAAAAAGATTATGAGACATGTAGAGGCTCCTTAAGAGCAAAATGACGATTTGTAAGAACTATTTATTAGTAGAATACAAATAAAGAAATTTTGACTTTGACTTTGACCTGTGGCTGAGATGACGATGATGATGAAGCCTATTGAACTGTGTCTGCCAAAGATTTATATCCAAACCAATTACGCCCGTATCCACAAACATTACTATAAGGTCTCACAGTGCGCGTGGACGCACAGGGTGACACACGAACCAATCACAGAGCTCTAGGCCCGGTTTTTTGAATCGTAGTTAAAATAACCAATGGTCAAATTTGCCAGATGTCAAATGACAAGTGGTTAAATATCAGAAAAAAATGTTTTTCGAACAATGGTTAGCTTGACTTTTCGTACATTTTTTAACTATTAGTTAGCATTTTGTTAATATATATACCATTAGTACCAAAATTTAACAATTTGTTATTTTAACTATGAATCAAAAAACTGGGCCTTATTCAACGCTGTGCGTTCGACTTGCTTCTACACTTAAGCAAGCATCGTTTGTGAATACGGGCATTACTATCATACTTCAGTGGTGTTTTATATTCATAATGTAAGCCAAATACTGTATTTTGCTAACTATACTCTAAAAAATCTTTTAGGTGAAACGTTTCATGAATCAAGTCTACCATTCCAAAGTGGCGCTGAGTGGGTTGGAGCTTTTCTATTTCACGAGGGAAACTATTATTGCTGTGAGTTCTGTTTTATAATAATAATGTGCTTTGTTTTAATGTGTATAAGATCTCACAAATAACGATAAAAAAATCATAGTAAAGAAGGTTCGCGTTTATAAACGTGCAAAATTATTTGAACTTTACTTTCTCTGATGACAATTATGGCTACCGTATTTATGCTCACTAGTTGGTACCACTGAGCGAGTGACAGTAACTACCTTACACTACAGTGGCGTCACCTACAAAGGTAATTGGCGCCACTGTCTTAGACATTAGCTAGTAACAGGACTTACACGCCTTTGGCGCCAACTGGCTAGCTCAAATACTCAACCGTATGTCATCAGAAAAAGTTTAATTAAAGACTATAAATACAACAACCTCTCTTTTATTTCAGGTGTTTGGTGTCCTAGCTACCTATGAGTTGGTATTGTTTCAAATGCGTCCGGTTTAACAAGAAACCATCTTTCTTCATATCCCGACTTGAAAGAATACTGAGAAAGCATTCAAAAGCTGAGTTATACATACCCGTTCATAACCGTTTAATAAACGTTGTTTTAATTAAAATCCAGTTTCCTTGTATTCACTGATGTTCATCTGCTTAAGGTAATTCCATCTAGTTCCATGCAAAAGTGACACAATTTCCTAGTTTCAGGCGTTTGCAAACTTTTCTTGCGAAACGTAACACGTTTCGCACACACGAAATAAAGTTATACCTTAAAAGGTTATAGCCAGTTAAAATTTACCTTAATCCAGGGGAATAAAGAGCAAAATAAGGTGATAACTATGTTGACATTGTTTGATAGTTACAGTTTTTAAGCTCTGTCATTGAATGATAAGGGTGCGCCCGAGCTTGCAACGCGGTGAAAAGCTTATTAGAAATTTCTATGTCAGGTAAAGTACGTATGCTATTGGCCATTATTACGAGGTAAAATAAAAGGTTTTGACCCTAAATGGCGCAATGTTAATAATTGTTTCATAATTCAATTTTGTGGGGTGTTATTTTGGGGGAGGGTTATGTTCAGCAGTGAACGACTTGTGGCTGAGATGATAATGATGATGATGAATTCAATTTTGTACCTTATTGCCTTATTTCAAGACCCGAAATAAGCTTAATTTTTAACTTGTTTACCTAAATCAATAAATTATTTCTTTAAGGTATGTATTTATTTGTTTTACTGAATAAGTCCATAAGTATAATTATCATTAAGCCTAGGAGCAGACCACCGATTTTTTGTCGGCCGATAGTTTAGTCGGGCAGTTAATCAGTATCCAATGGGCATGTATGAAAGTGCGCACATTTGAATCGTCATACAAATTAGAATCGGGCCAAACTATCGGCCGACTAAAAATCGGTGGCTCAGAAATAACAATTTACATAATATTTAGTAATCTCAATAACATCATGTATTTTTTATTGAATTAGCACTAAGACTCAGGTTGAGGTAAGTGCCCTCAACAAATTCAGGAACTCCAATAAAGCTGTAACGAATCGTGATTCCCCAATTATTCCTGCGACCTTTCTGGAATTCCATTAGGAAGTTTGATTAGAAACGCGAAAACATCAAATAAAACACTTCGTAAAACGCTAAAGAGTTTTGAAGTGGTTTCAATAGAATTATCAGATTTTTTGATACTCGTAATCTGAGTTTGGAGTTTTTATTTCATTGCCTTTTGTTTTATTGCCATTGTATCCCGGTTTTTTAAGATTTGACATACTGCATGCGCTCCGCGGGCAGTGTCAGTTCAAAGTGAGCGCAGCCCACTTGGCCAGCCACACTTGGTTGACTTGTTAATCGCATCGTATCCAATTTTTTTTAATAAGCTCTATAGAACAATTTAACAATACAACTTCATCTTAATTATTTTTAATCGGATTTTATAAAATTTATTTTGTATGAAAATTAAAAAAAAACTAAAATGATGATAATATTAAATTTCTGATTTCACCATACCATTTATATGCCCATATTAACATGGGCTAGTGTCGGCTCATATACCCATTTACCTAACACCCTGTATAAGGTAAGGTGTGTTCAATGTGCCGTTACTGTTATCCGATTGTTATTGTATGCGGGTAGGATGGGCATTTGCGCGGAAGTTAACTTGTAGTTAAATTTAAACTCGGACCTTTGAAGATGTAATACAACAAAGGAATCAGTGGCGTAGAAGAAAATGGTTGAATTAGCTGTTGAAATCCAAATAATGTTATAATGTTGTAGCTATGTAATTTATTTGAATTTATTTTGTTACTAGCATGTATGTACAGACGACGGCACGTCAATGTAACCACTGTGGGTTCTTGTGTAGTTTTAATAGGGGCGAGTTTGCAACAAAAATGGGTAACCTGATGTGCTGTCGTGTGTACCATCGGCAACAGTGTTAACTATCCATTGCCTGTTATGTCGTCTCGTTATATCGCAAAAAATCACCATTTTGATGAGAGCGAGAGCAAAAACGGAAATGGATAGTTAACGGTGTGGCCGTGTGTATGTATTGAAGAATATTACAAATAATTGTTGTCATCTAAGCAGTTTCTGGTAGATTTATTTAAGAAATAATAATAGAAAAGCATCACAATGATTATATTCTTTTATTTTTTCAACCTAAAGACTTTCACTTCTGAACTAAGACATTTACACAACGACTGATCCTACGATGCCAGCACCACGCCCTACCAATGGGGCCAGGGCGCTTCACATAATAATAACTTCTTCATCTGCACATGTTTTAATTTAGTTTCGTTGTGGCCATAGGATACGACGTCTACCTACTGCTGGACAAAGCCTACCTTGAGGATCTCTACATCGATCAGGCCTGCGCTGCCCAAATCCTAGTCATCATCATCATAATTTCAGCCATAGGACGTCCACTGCTGAACATAGGCCTCCCCCAATGATTTCCATGTTGATCGGTTGGTAGCGGCCTGTGTCCAGCGCCTTCCTGCTACCTTTATGATATCGTCGGTCCCACCTTGTGGGTAGACGTCCCACGCTGCGTTTTCCGGTACTCGGCCTCCACTCCAGAACCTTGCTGCTCCATCGGCCTTCATCCTGGTACTTCCCGATAATTCACAGATAGTAAATAAAAAATTGTTACAGAGTGCATCAAATTTATTTCAAGTGTTTTATATTAGTTACATTAACAACTCCATTCCACATATTTTTAAGGTAAATGCAATGTTTCATTCAGTTGTCCCACGGTAGTTGTATCTTTTTGATTTTCATTCAGCTGCAGCAATACTAACTCATAAGTCATGATCGTACTGAAGAACTGAAATATTACATTTACAAAAATATAGAATACAATTTAACATTTTTGCTATAGCGACAGGGTTAGGAAATATAGTAGTAGCTAGCCAGGTGGACTGAGAAAAATTGATCCCCAACACCAAACAAACTGGGCAGAAAATCTAAGTATATTATATTAATTTTACTACATACTGGCATAAAAAGGGATATAAGCTACCTTTAGTATTGTGCTTCTTGTGATGGAAAACAACGAACCAGTCAATGCGATTGGGTTATACATCATTTGGAGACGAAAACGTTGTACCTGTAAATAGTGAAAAAATGTGAATTTCGTATAAGCGAGAGGCATGTACGATTAGATTTGTAAATTCTAGAGATATTTTGTATGAAGTTTTTAAACTCAAAAATACTGGCCAGTGTTAACCTTTTATAAAGGTTCTAAATTTGAATTTAAAAAAATAAACTAAAACAAAAGATTCACGCGACATAATGGTAGCGAAGGCCGAAGGTTTTATTTACACCAGTAGTTTTTGGCTATTATTTTGTGTCAAATTTAAGTTTTATAACAAGTTATCTGTTAATTTTGAATTAATGTTATTGTGTGCATCATGCAACGGCGCCATTTAACAAGAGAGGAAATGTTAAGGGCGGTAGGCATGCTTCAAGAATATTCCAGCGGAATGGCAAGGATCGAACTCGCATTTCTTGGATCTAGCCCAATATCGACACCATTGAACTATAGTCGCTTCTAATTGATGAGTGTGTTTTTTTTTAAAATATAATAATATGATACTCGTGCTGTATTTTTCCTTACTTCTTTACTATCCTCTTGGGTTGAGACATCGAACAAAATCAGAAGTGGTTTCTTCGCTTCGGTGTGCACTCTCGCTGCCAGCAAAGACATGAGCAAAGCCCGAGAAAGAAGAAACGTGAATGAGCATAAGAAGTACAAGATCTGCTCAGTTGTAGCGCCAGTTCTGGAAACCAATTCGTTCTTTTATAAGACTATTCCCACCTTTCGTTCCCACCACTGCAACTCCTGTGTAGCCAGGATCTACAGCTTGACCGCCACAAAAAAAAGAAGGTCAAGTTTGTCCCGGGGGAAAGTTAAACTGTCATTGGACTCGCAACGAAATTAATCAGAAGAACATAGGAAGAGTTTGAAATTAAGGTTCGACTTCCCTCCATTGCAAAGCGGATGACACATGACAAACAAACGTTTTTTTATAGCATGGTCTGGTAAGAATGATGGGCTTGGGATCAAAATTATGTTAGTTCATAGTACTAACTCATGAGCTATGATACTAATTACACCCGCCCCCCATGGACATGGCATGTCAGAGTCCAGGCCCCCCCTAGGAAAGCACCCTAGATAGCAATGGAGGTTCCGTCCGAAAAGGTCTCTCTCTCCTATACAAATAGTGATGTAAGAGAGAGAGGAGATACAACCCGGTCGAGTTAAATGCACACCTGGCAGTCGTGACGTCACGTCGACGGTCTCGTACGGACGGACGGGGCGATTGCGGGGAGGTATGCATTTAGTTCGATCGGATTGTTTAAGCAACTCTCAGTCAATTAGTCTAACTTGCGATTAGCTTTTTTTATTTTTTGTATATTTTTTGGTATACACTTTTCTAAATGTTGCGTTTTATGAACATACTTACGAGTACACTTTGGTGCTACATGTTCTGATTTTCACCGATTGAAAACTGAAACAATAATTAATTTATAACATGAAATTATCATCCTTTATTTTTATTTTTTATTTTTTGAATAGTTTTTATTATTAGTAATTTTAATTAGGTTTATGCAAATATATGTATAATAAAATTGTTTATTGAAAAAAAAAACATGAAATTTAATAAATAACGATTTTGAAAGTCAAAATATGGCCCTATTAAGTTTTTAAGTATTATTAACATACATTTAAATCAATTAGACAAAGTTACCTTTACATAATTATCTATGACACATTTTAAAAAGAAGGAAAAACAACACTTACTTGAGTAAATAAAACAGTTTCACAGATATGAACACTAAGTAGTAGGTGAACGAAACTAATACAATCCCTTTTAAATTATGGTTGACCAGTCCGACCATGGTTTCTATTCGTGTATAATATAACCTTAACTTTTCCCAATATCGCACGTCCTGAAAATAATAAAAAAACATACATTCGAATTGAAAACCTCTTCCTTTTTTTTAAAGTCGGTTAAAAATGTACGTAATACCTTCCCAACCCGTCTAGCCAGCGCAGGCTAAATCTTCTAAACTAAACTATTTAACATCACTATTTAATTAAAGGTTAATAACATTCAAGTTTCATAAAAGTTACGGATCTTCATCATCATCATCATCATTTCAGCCATAGAACGTCCACTTCTGAATATAGGTTGCTTTGATCGATTGGTCCAATGCTTTGATCGATTGGTAGCGGCCTGCGTCCAGCGATTCCCTGCTACCTTTATGATGTCGTCGGTCCACCTTGTGTGTGGACATCCCATCCGGTACGCGGCCTCCATTCCAGAACCTTGCTGCCCCATCGGCCGTCAGTTCTGCGTACTATGTGCCCTGCCCATTGCCACTTCAGCTTGCTAATCCGTCGGGCTATGTCAGCGACTTTATACAGAAGCCCAAAGTTGCACAGCGTGTTATGGAGAGAGCTATGCTCGGTGTTTCTTTACGAGATCGAATCAGAAATGAGGAGATTCGTAAACGAACTACGCATCTTATAGCAGATATATTATCTATTTATCGTCGAGGATGCCGCCGATCGAGGAGGACGCCGTGTGGTGACGGCAGAGTAGAATACATTTGTCACCAACTCCAACTCTTCCCGCGGGTGTCGTAAGAGGCGACTTAGGGACACTACACATCAAACAGAGAACGGGCAGCAGCGCATCAAAAAACATCAATATTTTAAACTGCGATCTCCAACCCGCCTGCCAAGCGTGGGGATTATGGCAATACCCTCCACTATAGTGAAGGAGGCTCATAGTCCAGCAGTGGACTGTAAAAGGCTGTTTATGATGATGATGATGATCGTCGAGGATAGTGGGAATCCGCCTAAAGGTCTAACGCTTTAACTTAGTCAGAGTCTGATTTAGGGAGCGGCGCGGGAGGGGTGACATTGGAAGACGTGACGGTGCCTACAAACCTGAAGTCTCGCTGACGTTTGCTTTGGCTTTAACTTTATAAAAACTAGCTATTTGCATTTTCATGTGCATCTTCAAGTTAAAGCAAACCAATACATAATAGTGACTGAGTTCCTTGCGCTGCTTTTTCTCAGCACTGGCCCATTTATTGTCTTGAAGCAGTGGTAGGGTTGATACTAGGACGCGTAAAAGTGCTTTTTAAAAGCCTATTTGCAAAAATAAATGAGTTTTTATAAAAAGTAACTTGCCTTAATGTTTCGTTTACTGATTGCAGTATTCAGATCTCGTATATACGATATTAAATACAAACTGAAAGCCATCGGTATAACATCGGTTAGCCCGCAGAGGATTATTGTTTGGATACGAGTAAACTGAAAAAATAGGGTTATTTACAGTGTAAATCGTTGTAGTTGTTGTAATTCACGAAGGCGAGTGAGCTTTACATGTGTGGCTCGCTACTGTTCGTTTTTCAAAAGTTTTGACGAGACACTATCGTTATGCGCATATACACGTACACACACAAGTAAAACTCACTCGCCTTCGCAAGTTGCATGAACTTTAATAGAGATGGGCCGTTACTAAGAAAATTGCTCAAATTATTTTTAAAGTTCATCGAAATAGGTTCAGTGATTTAAGCGTGAAAAGGTAACAGACAAGTAGGTAGAGAGAGATATTTATTAATTCATAATATTACTTGATATGTGGGGATCATAATTATGACGCTAAAAGTAACGTAGCTTCTGATCCTAGGCTTTGACGTTTAAAGGTCATCGCACTTTTATCAAGTGAAGGGACGTTTACGTTACGGTGCTTACGTAGGGTGGACGCTGGCTGACCGACGGCGAAAGGCGATACGATTACGATCCCTTTCCAGGTTGATAAATGTGCGACGACCTTTAGACTTAAAATAAAAATATAAAGTGTAGGTATACAGAAAATTTTGTACCTGAATAATAAACAATTTCCATATGGCAAAGCTGGTTAAATTAAATAAGTATGAAAAAGTAAAAACGGAATAGACCTCAAGCAGACTCTTGCCAGTTTCCTCAAGTAAATTACAGTTATTTATCAGTTTGCAGTAGAATACTAATGACAGAGTATATTCGACTGAAACAAAAAACAAAGCATTTGAATTTAGGCGGTTATCACTTATCACACTGCGCCGCGCTCCGCCGCGGAGCGCGTGATTTTCATATAAAAAATGGACGCGTTGTCAGTGTGAAGTGCCGCGCGTGTTATCTATACAAACTGAGGTACTTGCATACAATGATTAAATCTGTCGCCCCGCGCTCCGCGGCGGAGCGCGGCGCAGTGTGATAACCGCCTTAGATTCATTGAGGCCTCTGGCCCCTGGGGTTACAGATCACACAGCGCGTCAAAACGCCACTGACAATGCCAATGACAGGACGCTTATGAAAGAAAGAAAGAAAGATACATTTACCTATTACAATGGATATCACACAAATACAGGCAATTACATAGACATGACATTGGCACATAATAATAGAAGAAAAAATAAAAACAAGTGTAAACTGAGCAGTGCCACCCACTCACAAACAAGATGCCCACTGCAACGGGACCCCACTCAGCATATGCCGTGGCCCACGGTGACGAAGGCCACGGCGCTGGTTGCTATGCACGCGCAGTGATCGCCATCGCCGACGCGATTTACAGTCGTTGGTTTGGCTGAAGCTTTCGTGATAGACTGAAGCAGCCACAGCAGAATAATGTTAACAGCATTGTTGTGTTTCGGCAGTTGGATGTAGGATAGCCAGTTTCTCTGTGATTGAGAAATCCGGGTTCGCTTCTACCTACTGCCTGAACATCACTTTTCGTCAGGTGAGATGTAAGCCAGACTCTTCTATTATGGGTAAAAAAAACTATCAAACCCAGAACCTCCGAATCGAGAAAGTACAAATATTTTACTCACCAAAACAAATAGTACCAATAATCCAAAGCTGAGAATCACAGTGCTTTTTTGTATTATTATGGGTTCTGATATCCCGCAGGTGTCTTTCAATTTTTGCCAGTCTCCTTACCAAAATCGGCCAAGCTTTACCTAACTGCATCATTTGATACATAATCACCAATGCTATAACGTGAAAGAAGACATTTACTGAAAAAAAAAGAGGAATTAAATAAATTAATTCATATTGAATAACATTCGGAATATATTTACGTCAAAAAATGAAGAGAAAGAGAACGAAATAAAAAAAAAACCGGCCAAGTGCGAGTCGGACTCGCGCACCGAGGGTTCCGTACAAATCTGCAAGGTTTACAAAGTTCGTTCATTACGACAATCGAGTCATCTATGGTATTTTTATTGCAAAATGAAATTCAAAAGTTTATATTTATTAAAAAATATTATATTTTGTAATGTAACTAAAAATTTAAGGTTTTCGGAATTTTTCCTTTATGTGTGCTATAAAATGTTGCTTCATGCCAAATTTCAAGATTCTAGGTCGACTGGAAGTACCCTTTAGGTTTTGATTCCCTTGCGAGTACTTGCGAGTTTTAAAATATGCAGCTTAAATTGCTGTTTCTTTTGATTGCGTTGACATAGAAGTTTGATTTTGTTACAGCTTAAAGGTATTATAGATTTGAGTATTTGGTATGAATTTCAATTTAATACCTCTACGCGTTTATGAGGAAATGGGTAGTAAGTTTAAATTATTAAAAAAAAAAATATTATGTGATGTAACTAAAAATTTATGGTTTTCGTAATTTTTCCTTTATCTATGCTATAAGACGTTGCTTCGTACCAAATTTCAAGATTCTGAGTTCACGGGAAGCACCCTGTAGGTTTTGATTCCCTTGCAAGTGTCGAAAATTTGCGGTATAAACGGCTGTATCTCTTGATTGCGTTGGCTTAGAAGTTTAATTTTTTCACAGCTTTAAGGGACAGTAGACCTGAGTAATTGATATAAATTTCAGCATCATACCTCCACGCGTTCCTGAGAAAAAGGGTCTTGACAGACGGGCGGACGGACGGACAGACGGACAACAAAGTGATCCTATAAGGGTTTTTTCCTTTTGAGGTACGGAACCCTAAAAAGAGTGCCATCGCGACTAACTCGTGGAACCCTAAGTGATGGTCGCTTGAGAACGCGGTAACAATATTGATTTCAATTGTGTCTCGATTCGCTGGTTGAAGGCCTACTCAATTATATTGATGGAAATGAACGATTAGTGATTTAAATAAATATTACATGTGAAACGAGATAAAACATCAAAAAGCCTTAAAATACTTACTTAAACTTGTGATATAGCCGTTTTCATAACTCCAATAGGCTACTAAAATGGCTACAACTATTTGCCCCAAAAACGAGGCAAAGTAGTAGATTCCATAAAAAGAACTCAATTTGAACCTGAAAAATACGAATAGTAGGTACCTATATTGAAATTGGAATGTAGAAAACCAATTTGGGTTAGATTAGAAAATATTTTTGGATCTAAATCATTTTTGATTGGGCTGTTTTAGGGATAAAGGTAAATTGGGATTCTAGTACGAAGGATAGAAAAATATCAAGGTAAACACTGAGGCACTTCAGGTACTTGCAATAGAAGCGATTTTCCAACCAATATGTTTAAATCTGATATGCTGTCACTGTACCATGGCTTAGTAGGTACACTTAGCGTCGAATAGTTCGTGACAACCAAAGTAGCCAAAAAGTTCGCAACACGTCTTGGTTACAACTATTTGACGCTAACTTTACAACTTATGTCGCAGGAACTTTCACGATTTTTTATATTTTCTATGCAAGAAAGCTGGATTTGAATGGATATAATCCATTCAATTTAAAAAGTTAAAAAGACTTTTTTTTCGTTAATGTTTGACACATTTCTTTCTAACATAGTAAAAATTGTTATTTACGAGTTTCTAAACAAGAAAAAATATGAAAATTACCGTAGTCCCTTGATCGTTGGGTTCCCCAATCCTTCTAC